TTTTGCCAGTAGTTTTGAGGTAAAAGAACTAATGTTCTGTTGCATCTTGTATTTAATTGGTCGTTAAAGGGCTGGAGGAGACAACTTAACACTTACTGTCCGTCATGGTGTTGACGGGTGTCTTTACGACTCTACGTATTTTTTGGCTGGTTCGTTTTTGATATAGCTCTATAAAAGTCACTACAATGAGTTGAATCCATGCGGACATGAAAGTTGTGATGTTTTTCAATAAAGGAAACTTACTACAAATCCATGTATATGTGCTTTTTATCCATTTTCAATGCATGAACCCCCCCTCCCCCCTTCACGAGGCCCCATTGCAAGTCACCAACCCCAATAAGTCATGGTTTTGTTTGGATCCTGACACCCGCGATTTAGCGAGGGGTCACTGTATCACTAATGTCTTGCAATACAACAAAATAAAATAGAAAATGCAATATAAAATATTCCATCTGCGACAATGGTGGGTGTATTTCATGGTTAGTGTTAGTTACGAAAATATTTGTTCACAATTTTATAAACTGGCTTGGCAGTTCCCCACCACCAATTATATATAATGTCACAGCATGTTGGCAAAATTTTAACTAATCCAAAATCACTCTTGATAATTTTGTTTGCTTTGTATGTGTACTACGATTGCATTTGAGGTTTTCATCATTTTTATGGTGTTCCTATGTTACCGGTAATACATAATGGTATACTTTACAAAAATACTCATGATATGTCAATTATAGAATCCGTTATACAACCTGGACAAAATGAATTATCATTTTTCCTCGCTATATGTGTAACTTCATGCAGAAATCCTAAAATGAGATTTAAAAAAGTATTTTCACTTGTCCGTGGGGCTGCACAGTATCTTTTGCTTACTGACTTGACTACACTTTGTTCCAGCATATATATCAGATTATTTGGAAACATAATATTGTAATGTAAATTTCGTTCATTAATGCTGTATGTTGACGTCACCTTTAGGTCCTACCTGTTACCCAGAGTCCCATGTTGACTATGCGCTGAATCGTTTACTTACTTAATACTTACTTATCAGAGAAAACGTCAGAATAGTAAAAAAAGATAAGTCAGTTGACTGTGTCACGAAAGTTGCAAAATCAAAACAGTCTGTCAGCCGTCGCTGTCCATACCAGAGATACGATTTTACACATAGAAATTGAGAATCACAATTGCATAGAAATGAACAATAAATACCGCTATTCTGGCCATCAATCGAATCATCAGTCTGCATGAGTGATTTAACTGATATTTCCATCCATTTGCTTAATTGTCTGAGAATGAATGTTGTCAAGTTTGAGAGTGTGTTTTTACGTACGGTGACGTCAACATTATCGATTACATCACAGTCCCGATTCAGGAACTGTGATTACCGTACATTAAAGAGGAAGTCCATTTTGGGCAATTTATGGCACATGACTTTTAAACACAAATAAAGATTTAAATTTTCCAGTTGTCTGTGGTGTGGAAAAATAAAGATGGCGACAAAGGTCAAACTAAGTGTTATGCTAATCTTTGAATTTTCTCGGCGATAGCTACATGAATTGGAACCAAAACGTTATCGGCAAGATTCCAGAGACGACAGTGACAACCGCCAAAATGTAATTGAAGGCAAATAAACATGTGAAGCATAAAAGACTGTTTCGAGTCTTAGCGTAAAATAGGGGACTAAACCATTGTTGAATTTGGGGAGGAATGGAATTGACTTGTGGGTGTCACAATGAGCGAGGAAGAAAAACAATTTTATGCAATGAAAGTGAAGACTTTAAAGGTACTTCATGTTAGTGTACAACATCATTTTATGTTTTATTGCCTACTGTAAAATCTGTATTAGAAGCCGCGGCTTCTATTAAAATGGTACAATGCAACAGAGGGGATGCGGCTTCTATTAGAGCATGTACACATATGAGAAATGATGAATTTTTTATTCTAAATTATTCAAAAAGAATGGGTGCGACTTCTATTAGGGATGCGGCTTCTAATACAGATTTTACGGTAACACTTTTAGGTTCATGTGCTGCAAGTTAGAATGCATATACCTAAGTAGCCGTTCCTCAGCAAATAATTTAGCCTAGGCATTTTCCGTGTCAAAATTGCAAAACTATCCATTTTTACGCAATCTGGGAACTCTGAACTACTGTTCGAAGTACAGGACTACGAAGCTGAAATATCTAAGAACAAACACATACCAAAATTTATTTCTCAAACATGAATATTCGTGTTGTATTTTAAGTCTAACCGGACCGAAAGTGGGGATTTGTTACTACTCTAAATATGCAAACATATTTTAGTATAATGTAGTAATAATAATTGCGGCTCAAAAGTACGCGGCTACGACTGAATAAATATAAAGTGCACATGGTCGAGGTTATGAGAAATAAGAAATGCGTAATACACTCTAAACAATTGGTAAAATATTAAATATTAACGCTTTTTCAGAGTTTAGTGCTGGCAAATTATGACAAGGTATAAAAAACGGTACACGGACAGGTAAAACTTCTTAGCTCATAAAATTA